AAAAAAAAAAAAAAAAAAAAAAAAAAGCCAGGCATGGTGGCACATGCCTCTAATCCCAGCACTCAGGAGGCTGAGGCAGGAGCATTGCCATGAGTTTGAGGCCAACCAGAGTTATCTATATAGGGAGTTTGGCCAGCCTGAACTCCATAGCAAGAGTTTGTCTCAAAAAATATAGATATAGATATATCCTTAGAACTTATTCTGGAGCTACAGTGGTTCCTGAGAGTTCTTCAGGCAGAGGCCCTCATAAAGTCTGCTGCCCGTGGACCGGTTCCAGCTCCTCCTCCCCTTTTTAATTTCAATACCAAATCAGGGTGAGCAGAAGGGTATGGCGGTATCAGCGAACACACCGACAACAACCATGTCACCTTGAAACGCAACCAGGAATTTCTGGAGAATTTCCCACTGGCAAGCCTTGAACAAACCACTTGAATTCAAGGTCAGACCTGCCGCCCTTTCTTCCTTGGTCCTGAACGGAGAATGGAATTTGCCGACCCAGCGCTCCCTACGCCGACCCAGCCAGGCGCTCGCAAATTAAAGCCGGAGGCGTCAACAGCGCTCGAGCATGCGCAGAAGGTGACTCTGGAAGGCGCACTGGGAGGAGACGCCCACCTGTCAATTTGGGTCTGGATTGGGCCCCAGACGCCCCTGTGTTAAAGGCTTGCCTTCCACCTGCGGCACTACAGGGAGGGGCAGAACCTGCAGAAGGTGAGGCCCAGGGGAGTCAGGTCAAGGATGGGCCCTTGGAGGTGACCCCCTCCTCTCTCCTTTGCTTCCAGCTGCCCCAGGCCTCCTCTGCCAGGTTCTCCCAGCCACAGGTACTGGAGGTCAAAGCAGCTGTGTGTGCGTGTGTGTGTGTGCGTCTGAGTATGTGTGAGACCCGGGGGCTGAACCTAGGCCTGCCCACTGAGCTACACCCCAGCCCCTCCCTCCCTTCCTTCCTTTTCCTTTGCTTCTTTCTTTCTTCCTTCGTTTCTTTCTTTCTTTCAAAACTTGGTCTGGTTACATTTCCCAGGGCTGGGCTTAAACTTCCAGTCCTCTTGCCTCAGTCTCCCAGTGTGAAATTACGTGCCTGGCTCTTTTATTCCTCATAAGTTGTATTTCCAGTATTTATCACAGGGACAGAAAGCTCACTAACACACTGCCCTTCAACATAGAGGGTATCTGGACTGTTTTCAAGGACTCTGGAGACAACAGTGCTTGCCAAAGTATTGGTTTATTTATTGTGCAATGAAACTGGAGAGGGATAGGTTTTTTGACCTAGAAAAATTATAAGAAAAGTAGGGATCTAACAGAAGAAATAATCTAACGAGGTCAAAAAAAATTAAGGACAGTAAGTGTGAAGAAGGGGTGGTAATGACGTAAAGCCAACTTGGGGGCTCTGGACACTCACTGGTTCTACACTGACAGTAACTTCAGGCCCAAGGAGTCACTACAGGCCACAGACCAGAGAAGGGCCTGGGGGGATCACGCGAGCAGGCAGTTTAAATTTAGGTCGCTGCACCCAGACCATCCTCAGTCCTGCAGGGTATTGTGTATTTTGTCTCCACAAGGAGAAAAGTAACTAAAATGGGTCTTCTGCTTCAGTGACATTTCAAGGGGTCCAGCGGTGTGGGTCATGTTGAGCTATCCCTTCTATCATAAAGGACAAGTCAGCACATCTAACCTCGCCTGCAAATAGGAGGCATAACCTCTAGTGAGTTTTTCACAATCCTCACTGGAGTGTGTTACTCCAGCACATGTCTCAGGGGTACGCAAAAAGCTGCTAGTTTTGAATAAGAATAAGAATAAGTACCAATAAACTCAATTAAAGCTGAAAAAAAAAAGAGTAAGAATAAGAAAAGGTTCTGCAGCAGGTCCAGGCTGCTGTGCCAATGGGTCTGAGGATCCTGCAGATCTAATGATGTTCAAAGTATGGGTAAAAATAAGGATGGTATTTGGCATCCGTGGCAACTTAGCAAAACGTTGTCTCAAAATAAGAATTTTTCTTTTTAAGGAGTTTTTCTAAAAGGGCTGGGAATATAGCTCAGTGGTAGAGCTCAGTGTTTGCCTGGCATGTTCAAGGCTCTGTGTTCCAGCCCCAGGGCCTTCCAAAAAAGAAGAGGAGGAGGAGAAGGAGAAAGCTGACATGTTAGTGCAAGGCCTACAGCCCCAGCCTCTCAGGAGCCAGAGTCTAAGCCAGCCTGCACTATCCAGCAAGACCCTGCCATGCTGTTCCATAAGCTTTTCCTTTCTCTCCCCATGCGGCACAGCTGCTCAAGGGCAGGGCTGCTTCCTCTTCCTCCTTGCATTCCAGGGTCTGTAACAGGGTTCACTATAGACTCAGGGGCCACGTTGTCTTCACCTCCAGCTCACCAGCTCCTGTGACTGGAGACAGAGCCATCCCACAGCCCACCAGGAAGGAGGCAGATGTGGCAGACCAGAAACTGGGGAAAAGGCAGCTGCGCCTGTGCCACCAGCTGGGACTCAGAGGATGACGTGCCGTGTGCTCACAGAACAAAAAGAAAAGCCAAAACTTTCTGTATTTTCCTTTAAAACTTTCCCTCCAGTGCTGGGAATGGGACCCAGGGCTGTGCCCAGGGTAGTCATGTGAGCTGCACCCCAGCCCTTCTGTTAAAGCACCACAGGTGCTTTAACAAGTACATTTCATTTATCACAGCAAAATCAGAGACTTCAGGAGTCTTAAATAACAGTAAGCCAAACACTTAGCTGGCAAAACCTACGGATGCTGAAGTGCACATCTCCTCCAACCTATAATCCTCCCCTGGTTACAGGCTCCAGAGTGCTGCTTTCTAGACTAAGGATCACAGACTGCAAGCAAATACTGCAATTAAGTTGGTGGATCCTGGGCAGCAAGCTTTTCCGGGATGGGGTACTAAGGGCTGAACCCAGATCCTTCACACTGAGCTGCATACCTGGCCCTTTCTCCATCTTATATTTTAAGACAGGGTCTTGCTAAATTGCCCACACTGGACTGGAACTTTCCATCCTCCTGCCTCAGCCTCCCAGAGTTCTGAGATTACAAGCATTCACCACCACATCCATTTCATTAGTTTTTTTCTTTCTCTCTTTCTTGCTTCCTTTCTTTCTCTTCTTTCCTTCAAAGAAAAATATTTATTGATACTTTCTAGATATACACAGTGACAACACTCATCATAGGGAATTTGCATCTGTTCGTGATATACCCTGAACCTTCCCTGTTTCCCATTCCCCTCCCCTCAACCTATGTACAAAAGCTTTGTTTCCATTTTCACTTTTTTGTCTCTTCCTTTCTTTCCCCCTCCCCTCACTTGTTCCCCTTCTCATTTGAACATTTTCTTCTCATTTCTCAATACTTATTATACATTTTTTGTTTTTGTTTTTGGTACCAGGGATCGAACTCCGATCCTTGTGTTTGTGAGGCAGGCGGTGGAACCCCTGAGCTAAATCCCCAGCCCTCTTATTGCACATTTTAGTCCTTATTGCCACTTTCAGATTCTCACACCAGAGAAACTATTTGGTATTTACACATGTGTCCTATTTATTTCACTTGAGAGTATGGTCTCAAGGTCCATCCATTTAGCTACAAATGTCTAGTGCATCCTTTATGATAGAGTAGTACTCCACTGTTTAAAACAATAACAACAACAACAACAGCAAAACACATCTTCTCTATCCATTCATCGGTTGTTGGGCACTTTGGCTGTTCCCAAGATTTAGCTTTTACAAACTGTGCTGCTATAAACATGGGTGTGCATCTATCACTGTGGTAGGATGCTTTCAATTCTTTCTGGAAGATACCAAGAAGAGGAGTAGCTGGGTCAAATGGAACCACCAGTTTTAGTTCTTTGAAGAATCTCCACACTGATTTCCACAGTGGTTTCCCAGGTCTACACTCCTACCAACAGTGGAGCAGGGTTCCTTTCTCCCCACAGCCCCACCAGCATCTGTTATTGGTTGATTTCCTGACAGCAGCCATTCTTTCTGGGGTGAGATGGAATCTCAGTGTTGTTTTCATCTGCATCTCTCAAATGACCAGTGATATTGAACATTTTTTCATATATTTATTTGCCTTTTCTATTTCTTCATCTGAGAAATGTCTGTTCATTTCCAATGCCCATTTTTGGATTGGGTCTTTAAATCTGGGAGGTATGATTTTTTTTTTAGTACTCTATATATTCTAGATATTAATCCTTTGTCTGAGGAACAGCTCACCAAAAAAATTTGCTCACACTGTGGGTTTTCTTCATTCTATCAGTGGTTTCTCTTGCTGTGCAAAAACTTTGCAATAAGATGAGATCCCAGTTGTTGATTTTGTGATATTTCCTATGCAATCGGAGTTTTGTTCATAAAGTCTTTGCCTATACCAATATCTTCATATTTAGACCTCTGATCCATTTTGACTTTCGTTTAGTGCATGGTGAAAGATAGGGGTTTAGCTTTAATCTTCAGCATGTGGAAAGCCACTTTTCCAGCACCATTTATTAAAGAGGCCATTTTTACTCTAGTTAAGTTGTTTGGCTCCTTTGTCAAAGATAAGGTGTCTGAGTGTGTCTGGAGTTGTTTCTGTATCTTCTGATCTGTTCCACTGATCCTTGGGTCTGTTTTTTTGTCAGTGCTATGGTATTTTTATCACAGTATCAGCTAATTTTCTTCCTTTTTTTTTATACCACAGATCAAACTTGGGACCTTGTGCTTGCAAGGCAAGTGGTGGAACCACTGAGCTGAATCCCTGGCCCAGCTAATTTTCTTAATGAAATGAAATCAGAATACAAATTATCCAAGAACACACATGTAGTATGGTAGTATGTAGTACATATATGTGCATGTGTAATATACAAATTGTTATGTGCTATGTGAACATGTATGTATACTGGGTAGCATTATGGTTTTTTACAGTAGACCCCAGATAACTGGGTTTTTTTAAAGTGTGGAAGTCATAGTCCTAGAACTCTCACTGTTGCTTAAAAGAGAACATCCACTGCTGCAACGCCCGTAAGACAAAATAAATAAATAGAAAACAGGGCCAGAGATGCAGCTCAGTGGCCCTGCACCTGCCTGGCAAGTGCAAGGTCCTGAGTTTGATCCCTGGTACTGTCAACAAATAAATAAATAACAACTATTCTTCAGTGGAAAGTAACCCTCTCACAGGCAGTTAGTTGTGATCTAATCATAGCCATACCATGGGTAGAATGCGGTTGTGGTTGGTTGGTTTGAGACAGGGTCTCACTAATTCATGCTGGCCTTGAACGCTGTGTATCCCAGGCTGACCTCAAACTCACAGTACCCTCCTGCCTCAGCCACCCAAGTGCTCAGATTATAGGTGTGCATCACCATGCCTGGCTCAGAGCATGAAATGTTATAACCCAGTTAGAAGGAATGGATTAGAGCTACATGTAAGACTCTGAGTAGATCGCAATAAAAACGGCAAGCATGTGGCCAGGGGTGTAGTTCAGTGGTGCTGCTGCCTGCCTCACAAGCCCAAG